GCAGCAGTAGCAGCAGCAGCAGCTTGCGAAGGACTTGTCAGCATAGTTGCTGTTGCTAGTGACTAGTGTTACTACTGGACGTACCACTATGACTGTCACTGCTACTGCCAATCACGGTAGTGGCCACTCTTGCTGCGACCATCTGCGACCACAACTACTGCTTCCACAAATTGTGAATGTACAATTGAGCATTTATTCTAAATCCTTACGGAATCCCTGCCGTAGAGTAGCCCTTCTCGTAGCCCTTACAGAATCCTTACAGGGACCCTTCATCACACCTACCGCTGTGAGTAGTTCCTCGTCGGGCCTTGTCAGGGGGCCTTTGCTGGCTAGGAACAGGACCAGACCCACTGTAGGAACTATAAGGGTTCCTGTAAAGGGCTCTCTACGAGTCTATGAGGGCACTCTAAGGGTATGGGGTTCTTGGCCCAACCTCTTCTGATCTTTCTATGCCATAGAGTCGATTCTATGCGGGGAACCTATGGCACCGGGCATTTTTCAGAAGGGTCTCAAGTTTAGGGTGAAGTAACTAGGCCAGTAAGTAGGGTTTGGGCGTTTGGTTTGGGGTCGTCGAGGACCTTTCAACGCCGCAGCAAACCGTAGATGCTGAAAACTGGAAGCCCAAGTTCATGCCGTCAGATGCACAAGCATACGCTGAACCCGAAACCCCACACCCTAATCCCAACATCCTAAACTCTAAACCCTGCACCCCGATCTCCATACCATGGTCCTTCACGGACATTTTCGCGAAGTCTGGTGGCTCCTGCACATCGTGGGATTCAGGCAGACGCGACACGCTCAAGCATTGCTTGAACCATTCCTGGAAGCCTATCACAAGACCCTGTACCCACAAGCCCTACGCTCCACAAAAGCCTTGAAAAACAGCAGGCATCCCAAAATCCCAGCTCCAGGCCAGCTCCAATGCCCCCTTTCCCCGAAACCCCCCAAACCCGGCCCGAAACAGAAACGCCAAAGCCGTCGCTAAGCCTCTAAATATAGCAGGCTCCTTAACCCTAAACCCCAATATAGTACCCTAATATAAAGGTCCCTAATATAGTACCCTAATATAAAGGTCCCTAATGTAGTACCCTACTATCAAGCTCCCTCATATAGTACCCTCGGAGTAGCCCTAGAGGATCCAGGCCTCTTGGGCTTCTTTTTTCAAGGCTTCACAGGATTCACAGGCCTTCAGTAGTTTTGCGGGAGGCAGTGGTTTAAGAGTTCAGGGTTTTAGGGTCGAAGTGGTTTAGAGATTGCCAGGGCTCAGGGCTGTAAAACCCTAAAACCCTAACCTCTAAGCCCAATTCGGTAGAAGCTGAGCTTCCCCCCCCCCCCAAGACCATAGGAGCCTCATCCACGTCCACGGGCTTCTCAGGCGGCTCCTGGGTGCTTCTTTAAGGATTGGGGTTTAGGGTAGGATGAGAGTTTAAGGCTTCGGGCTGGGGTTTGGGTTTAGGGTGACGAATGGCAAGTGTCCACAGGGAAAGAAGCCCTCTTGTTAAAAAGAAAGCGCTACTCGTTATTTTCTTGCAAAACCTGAAGCCTGCATGGAGTGGTTTAACATTCCGTCGAAGCACAGGGGCATGGAGTGTGTGAGACTCTTTATATGGTGAACTAGGCTTTGAGGCTCTCAGCTTGAAGTCCGACGGGGTTTTTCTCCCCTAAGCCCTAAACCCTAAACCCGAAGCCCTAAACCCTAGACCCTAAACCCTACACCCTGAAGCCTGTAGCTTCGTGGCTTTGGAGATCAGGCTTCGGAAACACTGCGTGGCGGCAGCGAAAACGTGGTTCGGTCCTCCGCCCTGAGTTGAACATGTAAAACCTACATGTAAGCTGCTGCATAATCGCAACCCAGCACCGCGCTGCTCAGAATTCTTATCTTGTTGGTCATTCTGTAACATAGATCTTGTGCATTCCTGCCCTGCCACGGCGGACGTGCCCCGAGGCATTTTCCCGAAATGCCGCAAGGTGCGTCGATCGGACCAGATCTCCTTTCCCATCCAGCCGTCCTAGGCCCTGAACCCGAGGCCACAAAAGAAATACTACAGTATACTGTAATGTACTATAATTAGCTCCAAAAGAAACACCACAGTATACTGTAATATACGATAATGAGCCCTAAAACCCTCCAAAAATCTCATTCCCTCAACAGAGCTTCGGCGCCTCGGGATCAAAGGCCTCCTGTCCTTGCGTCGAGGTGCCATCATGCTCCTGCAGCTTTTTGGGGTTTAGGCTGCTCAGGGTTTAGGGCGTCGGGTTCCATTACTCCTCGCGCTGCTAGGAGACAAGCCTTCACCCAGAGGGTGGGAGCCAGAACTTCGGTTCCGGATCCCCAACAACGTCTCATGAAACAAGGGGTGAAGAGAGGTTTCGAAGTCATGGTTTCAGGTTCTTGACCTGGAGGGGGCAGCAGCCCAACAACCTTGCTTAACATGTAAACTTGTAAATATCAACACCTAGCAAAAAACTGTGCGAAGTGCCTGAAGGTTCGTGAACGGGCTAACAATTTTGTTAGAGGTGTGCTTATACATGATAAGCCTCATCCCATGAACCCATAAGCCCCTATGCCCACGAAAACCACACCCCCTGTAACATCGTGACTGGACTTGTGAAGGCAATATCAGTATCCCTACACGGAGTAGGTTTCAGTGATTTATGTTTACATGGCTTTCCGTGCCTATCCTAAACCCTAAACCCTAAACCCTAAACCCTAAGCCCTGGACCCTAGACCCTAACATCCTTTCTTAAGCCGCGAACCCTGGACTTTCGTCCCTGGCTCCTCCTCCTGATCTGGAGGGTCCAGAACCTCCGACGAAAAGTATAACTGAGTTAAGGTTATTTTTGCGTTTAGGGTTTCAGGTTTACGGTCTAAGGTGGGGAAATTTTGGGGTTTCGGTTGGGGCTGAGGGTGCAGCATTCGGGTTGAGGCAGATCCGGGCTCTAGGGGTCAGGCTGGGAAGGAATCCACGCTTGGCTCGGAATCTTTGTCGAGAGTGGTGAATGTAGAGCTTTTCCAAAAGCAGTGCACCCTGATGGAGAGGGAAGTGAGTGATGCCGCAGCATCAGCTGGCACTTGCAATGTCTTGGGGAGCAGCGAGAGAGGATAAAGGGCTATACGTTTGTCGGTCGTGCACAGCCACTCTTCGGAGCCCAGCAACCCACAGGCAAAGCACTACTACGATTCCAGCGAACACGAAGATAGGTGCCCAAGCATAGAGGGACAATGACTGGTGGAAGCCGACAACGTGCCACTGATGCTGCCCCAAACTTGTCACATTTCTGGGACAACAAGTGCCAGGGGGTTGTAGTTTTCGGACGCCCCACTATACCTGCTCGACCGAACTGAAATCGAGTCCGAAGACGGAAGCTCCTGAAGTTAGAAGGACGTGGTGGATAAGAGAATGCCAGCTTGGTAGTGCGAACAGATGCCAGAGATATACAGATGTATAATATGCACAGGTGCAACTCCCAAGACCTGTCTCTCTCTCTCGATCTGCTCTGCTCGTCTCTCTGTGCTTCTGCACGTCCGTCTATCTGCGAGTTGGTCTGAAAAGTTGCCCTCTGCCCACGAATCTACGGGTGCTGCCTCGTCAGGGTCTACCTCGTCCGGCCCTGCATCGTCGAAATGCTCGTCGTCGGGCTCTGCCTCGTCGAAATGTGCTTCGTCGGGGTCTCCCTCCTCAACCTCGCCCTCCTCCAGCTCTCCCTCCTCGGGCTCTCCCTCCTCGGGCTCTGCCTCCTCTGGCTCAGCCTCTTTCATCTCTTCGTCCGCCTCCAGCTCTGCATCAACCGGCTCCGCGTCCTCTGCGTCCTCCGGCTCTGGTTCCTCGGGCGCTATGTCTTCCTGCTCTGCTTCCAGCTCACCTTCGTCAAAGGCCTCATCCAGGATATGATCCTCGCGAGACAAAGCGGGAGATGGTTGCATAAGGCTTGCCATAAAGAAGTGTGGCTGTGTGGCTCTAGCAACCCCATAGTGTTGTGGTGTTGCCTGACTTGCCTGATCGCGCCAATTGCCCTGGGTACTTGCATGTCTCTCCTTAATCTGCTTCTTGCGTTTCTCCTCCGCTTCTTACCGTCATAGTCTTGTCGCTGCACTTTCTCTGTTCCGTACTTCCCTTACCCTAAACCCCTAAACCCCCAAAACCCCAAAACCCAACACTTTTCCATCAAGGCCCCTAAACCCTAATACCCTAAAACC